CATGCTTGCGTGTGTGTGTGTGAGTGTGTATGTGCGCACGAGTGTGTGTGTATGTGTTAGTGTGTAGAATGAAAGGTAAGTGGATGGATATGTGTATGAGTATATGTGTGTGTGCGTATGTGTGTGTGTGTGTGTGTGTGTGTGTGTGTGTGTTCATGCTTGCGTGTGTGTGTGAGTGTGTCTGTGCGCGTGAGTGTGTGAGTACGTGTTAGTGTGTAGAATGAAAGGTGAGTGGATGGATATGTGTATGAGTTTGTGTGTGTGTGTTCGCGCACGTGTGTGTGTGTGTGTATGTGTGTGTGTGTGTGTGTGTGTGTGTGTGTGTGTGTGTGTGTGTGTGTGTAGGTGAAGAGATGCATTAAATATTTTCCATGGGTTTTAAAACACTGTCTATTTTTATGTCTTGACTTTGTCAAACAAACTACCAGAAAGCCCACTTTTCAAGATGGTGAGTAAATAACAGGTATGAAAGAAATAATTGTGTCAGGAGTTTGGAGAAAATGGTTAGGCGAAAAAGATGTGGGGGGCTTTAGATGTGGTTGAAAGTAACTTATTTGGTCTATGTGTGCATATCTAAAATTTTGTTTAAAAATCCAGATTTAAACGTTAAAAATACCTGTCAAAAGGTGTGGACCAAACTCCAGCCCCCACCCCCTCCCCCAAAAAAGCAAAAACAAAAACAAAAACAACAACTAAAAGAAAAAGAGAAACAAAAAACTGGCAAATAGAGAAACAATATAGATCACGCCCACTCCACCCCACCCCCGGCCACGCCCCCTTTCACGTCGAACTTCAAAGTACCGCATATTATTGTCAAAATGGCTACAATCAACTGCACCACAGCAGTTAAGGCGTTACACTTAAGGCAAAAAGGGCGTTACACGACTTTTTGGGGGGAGGGGCAGTTAAATTGAACCCCAAAAAACTACAACACTAAAACCAAAGTTAACATCAAACAAACTATCCAGTAGCGCCCGATACATTGACCAAACGTGCTTTACTGCTTTCTTTCAGCCACATTCCTGATTTTATGGTAGGTAAGATCTACACCTAGCCTTCTCGGATAAGGGTGAAAAATCTCGGAGGTCCCGTTTGCAAGTTGCACACGTTAAAGATCCCTTGGTGGTCCAAAATCGAAAAGAGTAGGCTTCGGCGCCACCCGGGCAAAATTCAAATTTTTTCTTCTTCTTCTTCTTCTTCTATCCCGTGGTTGGGGCAACCGTTGGGGCACCACTGCATTGGAAAACCAGCTCTCGCCATCTATTTTTGTCCTCTGCTCTCCTCAGATTGTCACCCATCGTCTTTCCTGTCCACTCTGTAACGTTGTCCTCCCATCTCCTTCTCTGCCTTCCTCTTTTTCTCTTTCCTTGTACGGTTCCTTGCAGGATTGTTTTGGCAAGTCCTGTGGATCTTGTGACATGCCCATACCATTTTAGTTTTCGTCTCTTCACTGAGGTCAGTAGATCTTCATATTGCGTTGGTGATTCTCTTTCGTACTTCAGCATTTGAAACGTGGTCTTTGTACGAGATGTCAAGGAGTCTGCGGTAACATCTCATCTCTGTGGTCTGAATCTTTTCCTCTAATTCTAATTTTTTTGACTCACCACATGAAATGACAAAACATTTCTACCAACTGAAAATGTTTAATGTGTTCCGTGCGTTCATATGACCTTGGGCAGTTGTGAGCTCCGTAAAACACTTACCCCAAAAAATAAAAAAAAATAAAAAAAATAATAGTAATAATAATTTTTAAAAATATGTATATTCCTTTACTGACCTCGACCTTGCTACGGGAGACTCCAGTCGCAGGAGAGCTATATCGCTAGGGAAGTTGCCGGAATGATGAAAGCCCGGATGTATGATGATTTTGACGACTCGCCTCCTTTGCTGGCTCGTGGAAGTGGAAGTCAAATCATGAGCACCCAACACAGCGACGATCGGTTGCCGAGGAGAGCTGAAAGACAACAAATCTAAAAATGGACGGTTGTTCACTTCCAGGGACACTAAACAAACTAGTTTGGATGGTTACATTTGGGGCTTTTTTGGGGGAGGGGGGGGTGTTAGATTTTCTCAGGGTCGGGTTGGGGTAGGGAGTAGGCCTATATAGTCCAATAAGTTCAACCCCCCAAAAAGGTTATTCTGGCAGTTGCCCTTATAAGACCAACGGTTTCTTGATGTTCCGATACACTTCGAAAACTGAAGAAAAAAAAACTTGCACCTTCGGAAATAAATTGCCCACAAAAGGGAACAAGCAGTGACAATTGTCAAGGAATCGGCCTAATAAATGCTAAGCAGGAGGCCTACTAATTACGTTAGTCAGAGGAAGATAAAGTGTAAACATCTTCTCAGGAGATATCAGTACATCTTAGCGTTTACACAAGTGTTCTGCTGGGATCAGGTGACCAAACAAATGGGTGACCGAATGTAAAAATCTACTTTAAAAAAAAGACAATTTGGAGGGGGCAAAATAGAAACCAGTAAGCTCTTAATATTTGTCAGGGCCACTTCCTAGTCAAATATTATTAGTGCCATAAGGAAAATGTGGTATATATATATATATATATATATATATATATATATATATATATATATATATATATATATATATATATATATATATATAATACATATATATGCAATATCAGCCAAATTTGAGTCTGTTTCAGGAGACTTCATGCGGCTCGCTTTATAAAATCTGGTTTGTCGACAATTTGTGTGAATTTGATTATAATAACTTTCAATGCAATCTACCCCTAAATTTGGAGTCCAGTCCTTTTCAACAATTTCAGTAAATGAAGCAGAGACTATCCTTTTAGCACATAGGCCTCTGCTTCGTTAAGTGCCATGGGCCATTTTTGGCGTTGATATAAAGCATAATATTACAACAAAACGCTTATAGTTTTGTATTACCTGAAAGGCTCTCAGTACACTGGATATATGTACCAAGGTACTCGGTGGAACTAAAGACGACGCCCAGGGACTCGGATAAAAATATATATTAGACATGTTAGACACAATATTGGGTGGCTCGAGGGGCTGTAAAGTGGGCGTGCACAATTACGCTATCGCAGGCTGAAGATAGTAAATGACGTAATAATTTAGATGCTGTATAATTTAAATACGGTTGGGTTCGTGAGGACCTAATTTTTTCTCTTTCGTTCTCTTTTTGTCACTTTGATTTCGAGAACTAACTCTTTGTTACTATAAACCAACTTCATTCATCGAGCAGTGGAACCGAACTTTCACGTAATAACACCTCCAACACTACAAACAAGGCGTTCAAAGGCTCTACTAACGGTGACCCCATCATGTCACGTTGACCTCGCTCTAGCTCAGGCCGGGCAAGACCTAAAATAATAGCAGAGACTTTACAGTAACACTGTAATGCAGTACAACTCTCTGAATACAGCAAGACAATGAAAAAATCGCAAGTCGCTTGAGCGCAATTTATGTTTTTGGGTGGCACTGCTTGACCGTGTTCTATGGGCGGACCGCGCCGGTTAACAATTGCACCACGAACGTTACCGAAAGCATCACACTTTAATGTAGGCCCGCGGCTTTTCTTTCCACTCCCTCCCCTCACACAAAAAACAACAACAAAAACAATGTCAGTATATTAACAAACATACGATAATACAACTACACATATCTGTTGTGATCCTTCTTCAACCCTACATATCCTTAAAAGACCGTCATCACAATACTCTATCTCGAGGAGTTCCAGTTGGCTAATGCCTCCTTATACGGCGCTTAAACACAAGACATGCACATTATATAAGGGCAACTTTATGATTGAGATTTCATCACTCTCCTGGGACTCAACGACTACCAGAGGCGTGTGACCTATGATCAAAGACGTAACTTGCTTTAATCTAGAATTTCGTCAAAGTAAATAAAATCCTCGCAGGTAAGTTACTTGCATTTAAATACTGTACGCTGGTTTTTAAGAGGATTATATTTACCTTTATTGTTAGGTTTGAAAGAAGCCATAGGACAAACAAATTGATTTTTTTTGTATGATTGTTTAAACCTAAAAGTATTATCATATTTTCAAACTGTCTTTTCTTGGTGCACATACATTTAAAAAGAAAAATGTGTTGACAATGTGAAACAGGAACCATCATTCTTCAGTTATTTTGAGAAAAAAAATACGAAAAGGATTGAGAAATTGGCCACTACATTGGTCTAGGACGATGAAAAAATGCCGCACCCCTTTTTTCCCCAAATAATTATAATAATAAAGAATTTGATATGCCGTATTCTAATTGCCTGCCAAAATCAAGGCGATCGTAGGTTTAAAAAGATCTGTTGTCCATTTCTCTTTGCCCTTCTTTCCTATCGAATATTTATCGTCCTTTTCTCTCCCTTCTTTTCTTTGTATGTTTATCTCTAGCTGCACTCGTAATATTCGACATTTATATGACCTGTTTTGTTTTGCAAGTGCCATAAAACTGTGACTAAAACTGAAACACTTGTGCCAGCAGACATCACCAGCCAGTGTTCATCAAGATGTCGTCTTTCGGCGTAGAAGAAGAGATAGCGGCCGTGGTGCTGGACAACGGCTCCGGTATGCTCAAGGCCGGGTTCGGGGGCGATGACGCGCCCCGGGCAGTGTTTCCCGCCATTGTGGGACGGCCCAAGTACCGGGGAGTGATGGTGGGCATGGGTCAGAAGGACTGCTACATCGGGGACGAGGCACAGTCCAAGAGAGGCATGCTCAGTATGAGGTCAGTAACAGTTAAACTAGTATGTTGTTATTGTTATTTATCAGTTTTGTCGGTCTGGATTTGTTTGCCTGTGTTGGTCATCAATTGTGTAAATAATAATAAAAATAATAATAATAATAATAATAATAATAATAATGATAATAATAATAATAATAATAATAATAATAACAATAATAATGATGATAATAATAATAGTATCTATCTATCTATCTATCTATCTATCTATCTATCTATCTATCTATCTATCTATCTATCTATCTATCTATCTATCTATCTATCTATCTATCTATCTATCTATCTATCTATCTATCCATCTATCTATCTATCTATCTGTTTTTCTTCGTAGGTATCCCGTTGAAAATGGAATCGTCAACAACTGGGACGACATGGAGAAAATATGGCACCACACTTTCTACAATGAGTTACGCGTTGCACCGGAGGAGCACCCGGTACTCATAACAGAGGCACCTCACAACCCCAAGGCAAACAGGTATGTCATGTAGTTTGTGTATGTTGGTCTGTGGTCTTATTTCATTCATCGCAAAACGATGTGGGTTATGAAAGAGGTGACATCTTTAACTCGGTGTCCATCTCAAGGTAAACTATTATGCCACAGAGAGCTTCGAAAACTAGACATATTGAATAAATAAATAAATAAAAGTAGACGTCGAAAGGCCAAAGACGAGGATTTGAACCCGAATCTTCGGAACAATACTTGGGCGTCTGAGAATATTTTCCTTTCTGAATGCCCCAGACCGGTAAGCCGATATATGCTCATAGCCATACCTTGTGGGGGCTCCAGTGGCTAAGTGAGTAGTGAGTTTTGACTCAAGCAATGTCAAGCAAGTGTCGGTGACACGGGGATCAGATGGGTGGTCACTGGAGTGTGTCCTTGAGCAAGACACGACAACCCTAGCTCAAATTACAGGGCGCTGCACAGTGGCGACCGACAGTGGCATTGTTTGTAAACTGTTCTGTATTTGTGTAATAGTGTGTATTTATGTATGCATTTATGCACGTATGTATTTATGTATGTACGTATTTATAATTATGTATTTATGTATGTATGTTTGCCATTGTAAAACAAAGTGCCCTTCTGGGACAAATAAAAGTGTAATTTATTTATTTATTTATTTATTTTATTTATTTGAGATCGGTGAGCTCACTCTGCAAAGAGCAGAAGCCCTGATCCCGTGGGTGCTAAGGAAATTGAGCCTCCACAGAGAACATCGACTAACTTCGAAAAAAAATAGTACTACTAACTGATAATTATAATATGTTGATGTGCCATGGACCGAGATGAAACTCAACTTGACCCCCCCCCCCCCCCCCCCCCCTCGAAAGAAAAAGCTAGATATGAGGATGTTTTAGACAGAAATCTCATTCGATCATGCCAGGAAATATTATAAGTCCTATTCCGAGAGCAAAAAGGCCTCATTGTGAAAGGGTACTGGCATCACCAAATACCATCATTAGGTGTTAATAAGAGTTCCTGAAATGTAGCAGCTAAAGGGTGTGTACGATTTATGACAGCTCCGAAAGGCATGTAAATGGAACTAATTTCCGTGAGATTTCAACGTGGGTCCAGACAGAGAGGTTTAAGCGCAAATAAATGCACATAGTTTTCGGTCTAGTAAAAACTGAAAATCTTGAATGCTTACGATAACAAAAAGAAATACAAGAGAAGGTAAATTTGCTTTGGGGATTGTAACGAAATTGGACTTTCAGGGAATGTACGTACACTTCTCAATTTGAGATATTCGGCTGAGAGTTTTGACGTGTCGCCGATGACTATTTTTCGGGAGTGACGTAAGCTACACGTATCTTGCTTACGAAGAGCAAGAGCACAGATATAAGTTATATCTATAGACTTGTATTATGATATTCTAGACGGTGCACTTTGGAGTATTTCCGGTTAACCATTTAGCATAATATTATTAAACTCAATTTGGAGCCAAAGGAAGGGCCGCTCGAAATGGACTATGACGAGAATGGTGTTTTGCTCTTCTTTTGAGCGCAAATGGTGCATACACGTTGCAGGGAGGTTTTTGTAGAGAGCAAAGAGCGACGGCCATGACAGTGCGCGGCCAAGGATTTTATAGCTCAAGTCATAGATCATAGAATACGAACTTCTAATTAGCTAAGGAAACAAAACGCTTTCTTCTGTGATAAATGCAAGGGTTTTGGTTTAACAGTAAACATTCCACTTTTTTTTAAAAATTGTGGAGGCTGGAAATTTTGAATAAATTATAATATCAAAATTGAAAATTTATCTTTTTCAAGTGCATTTAGACATCTATTTGCGCAGTCTATATTCACCCCCATTGAACCCCCCTCCTTGTAAAGCCCCTTTTGTGTCCTTTTCATTTACTTTTACACCCAGTTCGCGCTTGACCTTTCCTCCTAACTTTAGAATGTCATTAGACGGTCATTGTTTTATTTTTCTCCCCAGAGAAAAAATGACGCAGATCATGTTCGAAACGTTCAACTCTCCCGCGTTCTTTGTACAGATCCAGGCCGTGCTCTCGCTCTACTCCTCAGGCCGGACAACTGGAGTGGTCAGCGACTCTGGTGACGGGGTCACTCACATGGTGCCAATCTATGAAGGCTATGCTCTACCGCACGCCGTCAAACGAATCAACCTGGCGGGTCGTGAACTCACGCAGTACCTGCAAAGGATCATGAACGAAAGGGGCTACTCTTTGGTCACCTCTTCTGAATTTGAAATCTGCCGAGACATCAAAGAAAAGCTCTGCTACGTCGCTCTGGATTACGAGTCAGAAATGGCTGCGTCTGCCAACTCGTCCAGTACAGAGAAATCCTACGAGATGCCCGACGGAACCGTTATTACTATTGGTAACGAGAGATTTCGCTGTCCGGAACCTCTGTTCCAGCCATCTTTGCTAGGTATGGACTCTGTTGGCATTCACGAGCATCTCTACAACTCTGTCACGGGTTGTGACGTGGATATTCGAAGAGATCTCTACGCCAACACAGTCATGTCAGGGGGCTCAACCATGTTCCCTGGAATTGCGGACAGGATGCAAAAGGAATTATCCGCACTTGTTCCTTCCGCGATCAGGGTGAAGGTCATCGCTCCCCCAGAGAGGAAGTACTCGGTGTGGATTGGGGGCTCTGTCCTCGCCTCTCTCTCCACCTTCCAGCAGATGTGGATCACTAGACAGGAGTACGACGAATCTGGGCCATCCATCGTGCATAGGAAATGTTTTTAATCAGAGTCGTTTTATACTGTATGTAGGCTATCAGGTTTACATTTTTAAACATTACATAACAGAAGCTGACAAGGGCTTACATTCAGTATTGCAAAAGAAAACAAAATCTCCAACACTCCAACCCAACTCAAATAGATTTTGTAATTTATCAATAAAACCATACACAGGACTTTTAGAAAGTGTCAACCATAAGCAATTATTTTAACATCACCAATCTCTAGAATGTCCAACCCTTTTTTTTATTTCGGCCTTCCTCAGTTCTCATCGCCACATCCTAATTCCAAGCTGCATTATTCTGTACTCATTAAAAAAAAACATACCTGCGGGTGGTTAGAGGGCGCCACAAGTTTTACTTCTCTGATTTTTGTTTATTATACTATTCTTCAGTCATATATTATGTACATGTAGGTCTGTCCTTTTTTCCGGAGCAGTGAATAACCGCCATTGTTTTGACGTGTTTCTCTTAACTCAAAGACTCGTATGTAATATACTATATTTTAGGTACCAATACTGTCTCTTAAAAAGAAAAGAGTAACCCCGTTTTGCTCTCTCTATAAAGCGGGGTCTAATTAAGTACAGTCGAACTTACTGAAGACGATCACCCAAGTGGTCTTTTTGGACATTGTCCTTATACATGAAGTATAGATTTAAATGAAAAAGAAAAAAAAAAGGGAAGGGGGGTGGTGGGAAGTGGTCGTTTGTGCGGGTGGTTGTCTTGTACACGTCTTTTGTTGTGTGAACTGTTTTGTAGTTGTCTTTTTACTTTCAAACTCCAGCATCATTAGAGGCCTAGAGACTACGTGCTAATGATACTTTTAATATTTCCCACTAATTGCAACACCAACATAATGTATTAGCCACATATTATAGTGGCGATTAATTTTTTTTTAAAAACGTTTTTCATATGAGGCTTCCCTCTTCCTTTGTCTATGCACTAAAAAAAAGTTAAAGGGTGTTGAGGGGATGGGGGTGGGGGTGGGGGTG